ACCCGCTGGGTGGACTGGTTTACTTTGAGCGAGACGAAGGCACCGAAAGGTTTAACAGAAGCTCAGTTAGACCTGAGCTCTGGAGGGACCACCACCACTCCATAAATCATCTGTTCCCCCACTAAATACATGTTTGGATTAAAATGTTGGGCATCATTTATAACGACACCCCAGTGAGTTTGTCAGCAGCATCTTGTGTGGAGTTTGGCTTCCAGCCAGGAGGGCAACACGACTTGGTGTGATCCTGAGAATGTTCACGACTGACCCAGCAAATGGGCTCAAATATTTGGAACACTGAGAGCCCAAAGCCATTCTGATCCAGGTAGGACTGACCCAGGTGAGCTCTGGGACCCCAGGAAAATGTTAAAAACTCAGTAAAACTGCACCCCAGCTCCACACACACAGAGGACCAGGTTTCTACACTCTGCTCCAAGTGTTTGCTTCCAGCAACCCTCAAATTACAGACGTATTTATGCTCACCTCACAGGGAACTGAGTCCTAAAACTCTCCATGAAGGAGGAGTAAGATTGGGATGGAAACCCTCATATCAGACACCGAAATCCCTGAAGCTACCAAGAAACAGCAGATAAAGCCCACGGAGACACGTGGGAGCTCTGACCTGAGGGACAGTATCCCCTTCCATCTTCCTCATCCACCTGGATCAGGTTCCTGCTGTGACCGTGCCAGGAAAGCAATAAAACAATTGCTCCTCTCCACCCTCACTCACAAACTCCCCAAGAACCACCCACTGCACTCCAGGATTGTTTTCCAGCCTGCAAGTCCATCCCTGAGGATTCCAGGGGACACAGAGGCCAATGACCAGTCGGGGGAGGTCACAGCCCATCCTCCAGAATCACGGACTTTTCCAGGGACTGCACAACTTTCTGCTGTTCTTCCCAAGAGAAACTGCCCTGGAAAGAGCTGTGAGCTGGGAATAAAGAACCTGTCACTGCCAGAGCACATCAGGTTTGATCTGAGCTCTTATTTAACAATATGCTCACGTGAGGGCCACGTCTGTCCTCGGAATTATTCTTTTATGAGGCCTGCAAAGTTTGCAGTAACAGTTTCTGTAATGCAAACATGACATAACTTTTAGATAAATATTTTCCTTCATTGCTTTAGTTATAATTTTATGTCTTTTCTCTCATTGCCAGAAAAGCAGAGCCAAATCCTAAGCACTTGTGTGCTGCTTCCTAATTGACCAGTCCCATAAACCCAAACCCAGGAGTTCCTGAAACATCCTAATCCTGCTTCTAGAAGAGAACTGAGCACCTCAAAGAACTGAGCCCTTGAAGTATTTCATTCTTATTTCAACTTAAAAAAATAATGGGACTAAGGTATTTTCCAGCTATATCAATGCTGTTAAAAAAAAAATAAAATAAATGTAAAACTGCTTCTTTCCACCTGTTAGGAAAATTACATGTTCTGGCATCAGCTGAGTTGCTCATTTTAAAGCAAGAATTTTTTAAGCTGATACGAAAAAGCTTTAAATAAATAAAATGTATTGAAGTCCAAGTGTGAAACTGAATTTTAACTGAATTTAAAACCACGTTATTCTGTTTTTTTAGGCCTTGAAGGAAACCAGTTTATTTAGACACTGACAACATACTATGGAAATTCTATATTCCAATGGTTATCTAAATCACTTGGAAACTATGGGAATAAGATACACTGTGGTCCACTGAAAAGTAATCCAAAAAAACTTCTGACCAAGGTCAGACAGCCCCAATCTCTAAAGAGCAAAAAGGCAGCTGGATTTTACACCTCAAAGAAACACAGCTGAGCAGGTGAAGCAAAGTGGTTCAAAGCATGCCAAGGTTTTACCAGCTGGGAACTGCATGTTCCTACAGGGACCTGCCCGTGCTTTGAGGCTCTGAAATCCAGGTTAAGGATCTGGATAACTGAGTACAACCCCTCCCAGTGGGAAAAATCTGAAGTGGATTGTAAAATTCAACCCGGTTTATGATCATTTTTTCTCCTGAAAATAAAAAATTTCTGCTCGTTTCCCAACCTTTTTGAAGTCCAAGGGAAAAAGTTCCATTTCCAAGACTGTCAAGAACCCAGAGGAATGGTTTGTTGTGTGTGCAGACACATCCATTCCAACAGGAACACATCATTCCATGGCACCTTGTTCGTCCCAGTCCCCTCCCTGCAGCGAGGAACACCCAGTTCACGGCAGGAATAAAGGTTAAGGATTTGGAAAAGCTTTGTTTTAGAATCTTCATGTGAGGAGCAGGTGGGAAGTGGCAAATTTCAGTGCCCACTGAGCTTGGCTGCTCTGCTTTGTCCTCTGTGTCTCCAGACCTGGGTGAAACCTCTGCCCTTTTTAGTGCCAGAGCTGGGTAATCCCTAAAAATGAAGCTGGAGAGCAAATATGGGATGGCAGACACACACACAGCTGGTGTGGCACAACCCCAAGGTGATCCAAAAGCTCTTTTCCAAACGCCTGCCTTCTGTATTCCAACAATTTATTTACTTTAGGTCTGACTCAGGGAGCCCAATCATGCAGATTATTAAAACCAACACAACAAGGCCACTTCCAGGAAAGGCTCCTACCACGGGACTGCTCCGAGCACACAGCTGGTGTCTCATCCAACAAAACAGGAGGGAAATCAGCACTTCCCAGGATGGAGACACAAGCAGGAGTTTGCTTCCAGGTTGCTGCAAAGGCTGATTTTCCAGCACTTTCTTCCAGCAAGTGCCTGATGCAGCCTGTCAGCACAGCAACACAAACAAGCCTTTTCCATTTAAGAGCCCTCCTACAAACCATGACTTCAAAAACAACCATAAAAGCCCAGTGAAAGCAAAGGATTCCTTCAGACTGGAAGAGATTATGCAAACTCCAAGCAAGGATGAATTATTTTGATACACCAACTGGAGACTGTTTTCCTTGTGCAACATGAGCAGAGGCTCAGGCTGTAACACTTTAGCTGAGCAGTGAAATTAGTCTGGTTAAAACAGGTTATACTTAAACTAAGGGCTAAAACACACCAATAAATTACTTTAATTACCACAGCTGAGCAGTCCCGTGGCAACAGACCATGTGCATTTTTGTAGTTCATGGAAAATGCAAGGGAAAATGCAAGGATGAGGTCACCCACATGAGGTTTGAGCAGGAGCACTTCCCTCAGAGTGTGACAGGCCAGTCTGGGCACAGAACCACTGACACAGCTCAGCTGATGGATGGCAACACACTGAAATCACTTCCTTCTGCATCAGCTTTAAATATGTATTAGTAAATCAGTTAATCTGCTGTAAATTTAGAAATATAATCATATTTTACATAAGAGCCTAAGTGGAAACTATCAGTTTTGAAGAACATAAGGATGACAGTTTATATGTAAGTTTTTATAAAGTTTATGCTTTAAGAGTTCTAGGTATTGAAAAGCAAAATGACAGTTTACAATACAAACTGTTGTTTACATAACACCTTCCAAACCTGAATAATTCTAACTAATTCTCACCCCTGACATGGCAATGGACAAAAATACACATATGGGTGAGCAGATTAAAGGTTCTGCTGGGAACAGCCAATCTGCTCAAAACCAACTGCACCATCCTGCAAGTCCTTCAGGAGACTAAAACCCCTCACACACAAACATTAAACTCTGCCTTCATCCCTCCAAGTACCTGCTGGAGGAGAAACCCAAGTGACACATGAGTGGCACTGATCACTCCACTGCTCTGGGACACTTTAATACCTCACTCAGCAGAACTGAGAGCAACTCAGCCCTGCTGAAGAGATACTAACGCTGAAGGTATTTGACAAAGGGCATTAAACAGCAGATAAAAAAAACTCCATCTGAATTTATAAACCTGTATTTAACCTGATTAAACGGTTTTCTTCCCAAATATCTATTCAGCTGCAGAGAATACAGCATGATAACCATGGTTTTTCTCCATATCTTGTAAGAAATCTATCTGCTGATCATCTTTTGCTTTCCAACACTGCTCCCCAAAGTCTTGTCTTGTGCTACTGTAGTTTCACACCACATTCTACTCTACATCCATCAGATAACACTCATTTTTTAATATAATTTCTTCTGTTGCATTAGAGAACTGTGAACCACCCATGTTTAGGAAGCTGGAGAAACTGCTCTTTGCTAAGTTGAAACTTGCACATTACACTTGAATTTTGGTGCATATTCATAACATGGAAGCTGATTCTTCACTAGAGGGGACTTGACCTCAGCAAAAACACCCTCCCCTCACAGAAAAACTAAACTGCCTGAGTGCCTTTAGATACAACAAAGTGATTTCTGAGTCACAAAGACTTTATACTGCACCTGCTTGTTCTCCCATGGAAAACACACTGGGCAGCCAACAGCTTCCAAAACTCACCTGGACTTTTGGCTACCTGTATTTTCAGGAATGCAATCCCCATGGTTTCACAAGGCTCTTACAGTGCTGTGCATTAGAAGATAACTCATGGGACTCCCCATTAAAAAAAAAAAAAGTGAAGTTGAAGAATTCTTGCTCTCAAACCCTGGCAAGTTCCTGACAGATTTCTTCCTGCTTTTCCAGCAGATCAGTTCCATGACCTGAGCAATTCCAGAGGAGTAACTCCATTCCATGGATCTGAGCAGGGCACTATCAGAACGCAGCTGTTCTCCACACAGGAAATACATTTTGCTAATATCAGAATTTACTTGCTTTATCCAAAGCCAATTATGCAACTCACTCCAAAACAAAACTTCCAGCTAAGGGATGGGAGGGAGAGAAAGAGTAAGAAATGTGAAAATGGAGGTAAGGCTGCCACCTGACAAAGCCAGTAGAGTTTCTGAGAAAACACTGACCCTCTTCCTACCTCAAGAACCCAATCAGTTCTTCCTTCCCTAATTCATTTTTCCGTTCGATAAATCATCCAGAAATTTCTTCCAGGAAAAGGAGTCCTAAGTTTAAAAGTCTGTCAAATATATTTATTTCAACCTAAGGTGTTACTTAGAGACTTAATGAGAAAGAAGTGCTTCAGAAAAGAACAGTAAGTTGTGTGTAATTACCGCTGACACTCTCCTGCCTCGGAATTCCTGCTGCTGGTGAGTGTCCCAGGGCCGGTGCTGCCGAGGGAGCAACAAGTGCTGCCCTCAGTCCTCTCTCTGCGGGCAAGAAAAAACAGTCATCTTCATTTTAGTGCCTAGGCAAGTCACAGCATCACAGAATGTGCTGGGCTGGAAGGGACCCACAAGGATCATCCAGTCCAACCCTCAGCCCTGCTCAGGCCCATCCCCAGGAGTCACATCATGAGCACATCCAGAGGATCAGCCAAACCCTCCTGGAGCTCTGGCAGCCTTGGGGCTGTGCCCACTGCCCTGGGGAGCCTGGGCAGTGCCCAACCAGCCTCTGGGGGAAGAA